GCGATGGTGGGAGTGGATGGAAGGCTTGAGTCTCTGTCTCTTTATATATGCTGTGTGAAGTCGGGTGGTAATTGCGGGGGGGGGGGGGGTGAAGGGGAGGAAGGGGAAGGGGAAGGGCGGGGGAAGGCGATGGCTGAGGGGCGTGGTAGGGAGGGGGGATGGAGGAAAAGGGTAGGGTTGGTTGAGGGGGGAGGGGGAGGGCTAAGGGTGAGGGGAGATGAAGGAAAGATGAAGCTGGAGGGGAGAAGGAGGAGAAAGAGGGGTAGAAAGAGGGAGGAGGAGAGAGAAGGAAAGGAAGGGGAGGAGGGAGGCCGGGAGAAGGGAAGAAGGAAGAGGAGGAAGAGGGGAGGGAATAGAGAGGACGAGTGAAGGTGGAGGGGGCGGGGAGGAAGAAAGAGGAAGGCAGAAGTGGAGAGGGGGAAGGGGGAGGGGGGGGGGTGTTGCGGTAAAGAAAGGGTTTTATGGCGGAATACGTCACACTAACATCTTGCCTGCTCCCCCCCCTTTTACGTCTGCTCCCCCCCCCCCCCCCTTTACGTCTGCTCCCCATCTAAAATGGACTTTAGTTTAAAACACTCCATGCATTTGTATGAAATCAACTGGTGTCTATAATCATTATTCAAAGTAATACACAATGATAAAAGCACTCCACAGACATTTGCATTTTAAGATACAACGATGGCAAAAGTATCATTACTTTATCGCAATCAGTGCTAAGTATTTCCGTTTCCATGGTATTTATTATTATAGGTGTTATTGTCAACATTGCATCTGTCATCACTGTTGATATCATTTCCATCATCGGTATTATCATCATTGCTATTATTATTATTATTATTATTATTATTATTATTATTATTATTATTATTATTATTATTATTATTATTATTATTATTATTATTATTATTATTATTATTATTATTATTATTATTATTATTATTATTATTATTATTATTATTATTATTATTATTATTATTATTATTATTATTATTATTATTATTATTATTATTATTATTATTATTATTATTATTATTATTATTATTATTATTATTATTATTATTATTATTATTATTATTATTATTATTATTATTATTATTATTATTATTATTATTATTATTATTATTATTATTATTATTATTATTATTATTATTATTATTATTATTATTATTATTATTATTATTATTATTATTATTATTATTATTATTATTATTATTATTATTATTATTATTATTATTATTATTATTATTATTATTATTATTATTATTATTATTATTATTATTATTATTATTATTATTATTATTATTATTATTATTATTATTATTATTATTATTATTATTATTATTATTATTATTATTATTATTATTATTATTATTATTATTATTATTATTATTATTATTATTATTATTATTATTATTATTATTATTATTATTATTATTATTATTATTATTATTATTATTATTATTATTATTATTATTATTATTATTATTATTATTATTATTATTATTATTATTATTATTATTATTATTATTATTATTATTATTATTATTATTATTATTATTATTATTATTATTATTATTATTATTATTATTATTATTATTATTATTATTATTATTATTATTATTATTATTATTATTATTATTATTATTATTATTATTATTATTATTATTATTATTATTATTATTATTATTATTATTATTATTATTATTATTATTATTATTATTATTATTATTATTATTATTATTATTATTATTATTATTATTATTATTATTATTATTATTATTATTATTATTATTATTATTATTATTATTATTATTATTATTATTATTATTATTATTATTATTATTATTATTATTATTATTATTATTATTATTATTATTATTATTATTATTATTATTATTATTATTATTATTATTATTATTATTATTATTATTATTATTATTATTATTATTATTATTATTATTATTATTATTATTATTATTATTATTATTATTATTATTATTATTATTATTATTATTATTATTATTATTATTATTATTATTATTATTATTATTATTATTATTATTATTATTATTATTATTATTATTATTATTATTATTATTATTATTATTATTATTATTATTATTATTATTATTATTATTATTATTATTATTATTATTATTATTATTATTATTATTATTATTATTATTATTATTATTATTATTATTATTATTATTATTATTATTATTATTATTATTATTATTATTATTATTATTATTATTATTATTATTATTATTATTATTATTATTATTATTATTATTATTATTATTATTATTATTATTATTATTATTATTATTATTATTATTATTATTATTATTATTATTATTATTATTATTATTATTATTATTATTATTATTATTATTATTATTATTATTATTATTATTATTATTATTATTATTATTATTATTATTATTATTATTATTATTATTATTATTATTATTATTATTATTATTATTATTATTAT